ATTATTTTATTTTATTTTATTTATTTTTGAGACACAGTCTCACTCTGTTGCCCAGGGTGGAGTGCAGTGGTGTGATCTCGGCCTACTGCAACCTCCACTGCCCAGGTTTAAGTGATTTTCCTACCTCAGCTTCCCAAATAGCTGAGACTATAGGCATGTGCCACCACTCCTGGCTAATTTTTATATTTTTAGTAGAGATGGAGTTTCACCATGGAGATTCACCATGTTGGCCAGGCTGGTCTTGAACTCCTGGTCTCAAGTGATCCACCCACTTTAGCCTCCTGAAATACTGGGATTACAAGCATAAGCCACCAGCCACCATGACCAGCCATGCTGCTGATTATTCAGGATCCAAGGGATATTTAGTCAGCAGGTGATGAATGCTGCCAGGAATGGGTCCTTCCCTTCAAGGCAGCAGGTTTCCTTTCTGGCCCTGGGTGTGTCTAGAAATTTTGTCTGGGAGCTAAGGCCTTGAAAGGGGGCCTTAGGACTCTGCCCGGTGCCCTGTCATACTGTGGCTGAGCTGGATTCCAAGTTTTGAAAGATAAAGTCTTCTTTTTTTTTTTTTTAAATTATACCTTAAGTTCCGGGGTACATGTGCAGAACGTGCAGGTTTGTTACATACTCATACACATGCCATGATGGTTTGCTGCATCCATCAACCCATCATCTACATTAGGTATTTCTCCTAATTCTGTCCCTCCTCTATCCCCCCACCTCACACACACAAGCCCTGGTGTGTGATGTTTCCCTCCCTGTGACCATATATTATCATTGTTCAACTCCCACTTATGAGTGGGAACATGTGATGTTTGGTTTTCTGTTCTTGTGTTACTTTGCTAAGAATGATGATTTCTGGCTTCGTCCATGTCCCTGCAAAGGACAAACTCACCTTTTTTATGGCTGCATAGTATTCCGTGGTATATATGTGCCATACCTTCTTTATCCAGTATATCACTGATGGGCATTTGTGTTGGTTCCAAGTCTTTGCTATTGTGAACAGTGCTGCAATAAACGTACGTGTGCATGTGTCTTTTTAATAGAATGATTTATGATCCTTTGGGTATATACCCAGCAATGGGAAATGGGATTGCTGGATCAAATGGTATTTCTAGTTCTAGATCCTTGAGGAATCGCCACACTGTCTTCCACAATGGTTGAATTAATTTACACTCCCACCAACAGTGTAAAAGCATTCCTATTTCTCCACATCCTCTCTAGCATCTGTTGTCTCTTTATTTTTTAATGATCGGCATTCTAACTGGCATGAGGTGATATCTCATTATGGTCTTGTTTTGCATTTCTCTGATGGCCAGTGATGATGAGCTTTTTTTCATGTTTGTTAGCTGCATAAATGTCTCCTTTTGAGAAGTGTCTGTTCATATCCTTCACCCACTTTTTGATGGGGTTGTTTGTTTCTTGTAAATTTGTTCAAGTTTTTTGTAGATTCTGGCTATTAACCCTTTGTCAGATGGGTAGATTGCAAAAATTTTCTCCCATTCTGGAGGTTGCCTGTTCACTCCAGTGATAGTTTCTTTTGCTGCAGAGAAGCTCTTTAGTTTAATTAGAGCCCATTTGTCTATTTTGGTTTTTGTTGCCATTGCTTTTGGTGTTTTAGTCATGAAGTCCTTGCCCATACCTATGCCTGAATGTTGTAGGTTTTCCTCTAAGGTTTTTCTGGTTTTAGGTCTTACGTTTAAATCTTTAATCCATCCTGAGTTAATTTTTGTATATGATGTAAGAAAGGGATCCAGTTTCAGCTCTCTGCATATGACTAGCCAGTTTTCCCAACACCATTTATTAAATAGGGAATCCTTTCCCCATTGCTTGTTTTTGTCAGGTTTGTCAAAGATCAGATGGTTGTAGATGTGTGGTGTTATTTCTATGGCCTCTGTTCTATTCCATTCATCTATATCTCTGTTTTGATACCAATACCATGCTATTTGGATTACTGTAGCCTTGTAGTATAGTTTGAAGTTAGGTAGGGCAGCATGATGCCTCCAGCTTTGTTTTTTCTTTTTTTGCTTAGGATTGTCTTGGCTATGTGAGCTCTTTTTGGTTCCATACGAAATTTAAGTTGGTTTTTTTCAATTCTGTGAATAAAGTCAATGGTAGCTTGATGGGGATAGCATTGAATCTATAAATTACTTTGGGCAGTATGGCCATTTTCATGATATTGATTCTTCCTAACCATGAGCATGGAATTTTTATTATTTTTTATGTCTTCTCTTATTTCCTTGAGCAGTGGTTTATAGTTCTCCTTGAAGAGGCCATTCACATCCCTTGTTTGTTGTATTCCTAGGTATTTTATTCTCTTTGTAGCAATTGTGAATGGGAGTTCACTCATGAATTGGCTCTTCGTTTGTCTGTTATTGGTGTATAGACATGCTTGTGATTTTTGCACATTGATATTGTATCCTGAGACTTTGCTAAAGTTGCTTATCAGCTTAAGGAAATTTTAGGCTGAAACGATCGGATCTTCTAAATATACAATTATGTCATCTGCAAATAGAGACAATTTGACTTCTTCTTTTCCTAATTGAATACGCTTTATTTCTTTTTCTTGCCTGATTTCTCTGGACAGAACTTCTAACACTATGTTGAGTAGGAGTGGTGAGAGAGGGCTCCCTTGTGTTTGCTGGTTTTCAAAGGGAATGCTTCCAGGACTTGCCCATTCAATATGATATTGGCTGTGGGTTTGTCATAAAGAGCTCTTATTATTTTGAGATATGTTCCATTAATACCTAGTTTACTGAGAATTTTTAGCATGAAGGGCTCTTGAATTTTGTCGAAGGCCTTCTCTGCATCTATTGAGATAATCATGTGGTTTTTGTGTTTGGTTCTGTTTATGTAATAGAATTACATTTATTGATTTGCATATGTTGAGCCAGCCTTGCATCCCAGGGATGAAGCCAACTTGATCGTGATGGATAAGCTTTTTGATGTGCTGTTGGATTCAGTTTGCAAATATCTTACTGAGGATTTTCACATCAGTGTTCATCAGGGATATTGGCCTGAAATTTTCTTTTTTAGTTGCGTCTCTGCCAGGTTTTGGCATCAGGATGATGTTGGCCTCGTAAAATGAGTTAGGGAGGATTCCCTATTTTTCTATTGTTTTGAGTATTTTCAGAAGTAATGGTACCAGCTCCTGTTTGTGCCTCTGGCAGAATTTGTCTGTGAACCCATCTGGTCCTGGACTTTTTTTGGTTGGTAGGCTATTAATTGCTGCCTCAGTTTCAGACCTTGTTATTGATCTATTGAGAATTTGACTTCTTCCTGGTTATATCACTACCAATCCCACAGAAATATAAACTACAATCAGAGGATACTATAAACACCTCTATGCAAATAAACCAGAAAATCTAGAAGAAATGGATAAATTCCTGGACACTTACATCCTCCCAAGACAAAGTCTTCTTTACTCTCCCTTCTCCTCTACTCAGGTAGAGTGAAGGAATCTCTCTGGGAGTTGTGAGCTGTACTGCCTAGGGCTAGTGGAGGGCTATTGCAAGCACTCACTCATCCACCCCATGCATAAAGGTCATATGCCCCCTACGTCTACTGGCACCCACTCACCCAACCCATGCACAAAGGTCACATGCCCCCTCAAGTCTACTGGTCTGAGCTCAGCACAGCATCAGGACTTGTCCAGGAATTGCAGTCCCTGTGGCTTTAAACTGTCTTTTGAGTGTTTTTAGTACCCAAGAACACTTTAGCCTGCAGCAGTGAGGCTTGCTGGAACTCACACTCTGACCACCAGAATGGGTGATTCCCTCTGCCTAGGGCTGATGTAAATCTTCCCTTCGTGGGTACCAGCTGACTTCTGCCCAGTGTTACTTTCCACTGTGATTGGGTGGCACTGAGTTTCAGTGCAAAGTCTCTCCATCACTATGCTCTCCCTCCCACAAGTGCACAGTTTTTCTCTCCATGCCATGTGACTGCTGCAGAAGGGATGGGGAGGGGCTGACATCATCAATTCAAGACTTTCTTACCCTCTTCAGCGCCTCTTTCAGTGATATAAAGTGAAAACCAGCTACTGTAATTGCTCACCTGATTTTTGATTTTTATGAAGGTGCTTTTTTGTGTGGGTAGTTGCTAAATGTGGTGTTCCTACAGGGAGGACGATCAGTGGAGGCTTCTATTCGGCCACCTTGTTCTGCCTGCCTCCTGTTACCATTTTCTAGCTATAGACAGGGGGTAGGGAGGGTGCCCAGAGAGTCTGGGGCATGCAATTTTAGAGGGTAACTTGAAAGATGGGAAGGGAGAATGGATGCTGGGAAACAATTAGCAGTCTCTATCACAGACATAATGCATAAAAGGCAGTTCTTACAAATATGCGTATATATACAATAATGCACGTAAAAACATATACATACTACATTCACATTATTTTTTTTTATTTCATTATGGACCCTAAAAGCTTTCAATAGACCTACCCTCTTCCACAGCCAGTTTTAGAGTCTCACTGGCCAGTTTCCAAATAAGAAGCTATGGATTTACCAATGCATTTTCTTGCTACACCAGCCACAGTGAGTTTCCAGGTGCAAATAGCAGAGGTTCAATCTTTAGGCTCCCACTAACTCTGTTACACCTTGTCTTCCCTCCGTCTCTCAGTACTCTCCTAATACCTAGACTAACAAGGATCAAAAGTGATACAACAGTATGGAAAAACCTAAGGATAGCCGGGTCTATGCAGACCCTAGCCCATTACCTCCCTTCCTGGGAATTGTATGCTTTCTGATTGGCACTTATATATGTCCTGGTTTAATTGAAAAAAGCATAAGAAAAAATTTTTTCATACTCTGCAATTTAATGTCATGGCAAGTAACCCAAATAAGACTAGAAAAGGGGAGGGAGTTATCAATAAAGTACAATTTAAAAACAGTTGAACCTCTTTCCCTCTAAAGACTAGCATAATGCTACACCATGCTTAATGCCTCTTTAAATGGCCTAGTTAAGTGCCCATCATTAGTCATGTGTAACTGTGCATTCACTAACAGAACTGGGACCCTGGAACTTGGGGATAAATTACTCGCGATAGATAATATCCGGCTGGACAGCTGTTCCATGGAAGATGCAGTTCAGATCCTCCAGCAATGTGAAGACCTGGTGAAGCTCAAAATCCGCAAAGATGAAGATAATTCAGGTATCGAGAGCATCCTTAGTTAAAACTGATTTTTTTGAAACTGCCCATCTGTCACCAAAGATATTAGATCTTGATGTTTTACATGCAACAGCTGGCTAGTGACATAGCAGCCGTGTTTCCCAGTTAAAAGGGCCTTTAAATTTTGTGTTGAGAGTGTAGTATGAATTTTAAATAATGGTGCTTGCAAATGATATCATGAAGATATTTTCATTATAGAAAACATTATAATTGCATAAATATAATTTTTAAAGATTAAATCATCATTCAATACCACCCTAATACAATGAAACTAGTAGTTTTCTAGTTTTTGTTGACATTCATATGGCATAACTATAACCAAGCAGATGCTGCATTTTTTGCCTAATTTTACATTGTAAACATTTGATCATTTTATAAATGCTTAATATTCATAATTTTTATTGACTGTGATTTACCTTTTTCTCTTCTTAAATCACTGTATTGCTTCCAATTGTTTCATTATTGTAAATAGTACTCTTATAGACATCTTTATGCATAGATATCTTTATTCAGCCTTTATTTTCTTTTGAATTATTTCCTGAGAAAATATTCCTAGAAGCAGGATAGCTGAGTGAGAAGACAAAGGAAATGTCTGTGATTCTTGATGAGTCAGTCATGCCCACGTTGCCTTTCAAAATGGTTATATGCATTTTTAGGCCTCCAGTCAAACTTAGGGGGGTACAGAATCATCTGAAGAGCTTATTAAAACAGATCCTGGGCATGGCCTCAGGTGGGACCTGAGATTCTGGATTCCTAACAAACGTTCAGATGCTGCCACAGCTGTGGTGCAAGGAGCCCACTTTGGGTAGCCCTGAAATAAGAGACATTGTATCTGATTATGATGAGAATATAGAGCCAATTGAAAAGTGTCCATTCATCAAAAGAGTCAGCTAATGTGGGGAACTACAAAATGTGATATGGATCCATAACATAAACGTTTAATTTACTATTTTGCCAATCTTGCAGTTAAAGTCAAGGCCTTTCCTGTATGATTCTGCTGATTACAGTTACAAGTCTTTTTGTTTGTTTCCCTAAACTCTATCTGCAATATATGTTTTATGATTTCCAGTTTTAATTTGGTTTGGTTTTTAATATAGTGAGACTTTAAAAAATGTAAAGCAATCTGAATGCTAATTCCCCCTAGATCTTTATTTTCCCCAGTGTGTTAGAGTTTTTCCTCTAGGTAATTAATAGTAGATTTTTTGTTTGTTTTGTGTTTTTGTTTTTGAGACAGAGTCTCACTCTGTCACCCAGGCTGGAGTGTGCCATGGAGTGCAGTGGTGTAATCTCTGCTCACTGCAATCTCTACCTCCCAGGTTCAAGCGATTCTCGTGCCCCAGCCTCCTGAGTAGCTGGAATTACTGGCATCTGTCCCCTCTCCCTTCTAATTGTTGTATTTTTAGTAGAGACGGGTTTTTGTCATGTTGGCCAGGCTGATCTCAAACTCCCAGCCTCAAGTGATCTATCTGCCCTCCTCGGCCTCCCAAAGTGCTGGGATTACAGGCATTAGCCAATGCACCTAGCCATAGATTTTTGCCTAACGACCCCTTATTGAATCTTTCCAAAGCATCAGATTTTGTTTTCATAGAACAACTACATTCATATTTCATAGGTTATGTAAGATTAATTAAATTACGTAGTTAAAATAACAAGTACAGCTGGCATAAGCAGGTTTAGGAATAAACATAATTGCCTCTAAATTTTGAAGTTCACAGCTGAAGCAGGAGCAGAAGTACAGAGGGGCTAGAGGAAGAAACCTGTTACCCTGGAGCATGCCATGGCATTGGTCTGTGTGTTTTATAATGGATAATGGAGAGCCACAATTAATTCAGTAAATTGATTAAGTGGAGATTGGTAAAGAGATCATCTACTGTATATAATTTCATCACAATAATGAAGTCATGGCAATGTTCTGGGATTTCCTTAATCAGGTCTTCTAGATCTAGAGTTTATGGTTATGTCAGGCTATGTGTTTATGGTTCCTATTCAAAGTAAAAAAAAAAATCTGTAGTTGCATCCATCGGTACAATTGATAATGATTATATGCAAATATATTTTATAACCAATGTTTAAAAATATGCACAGATTTGCACTCATTGTTTCCTAAGCAACTGATTTTCTATGCCAACATTTGCATTTTTCTCCTTAGAAGCCTGCTTCAATTGTACTTTCTTTTTGGGATTTGTTTCAAAGTAGGGAGGAAGCCGTTAGCATCAGCCTGGGTTCTGTCCTAGTGAAGAGGCAAAGCCCTGTGGAGAAACGTGTTTTGCATGATTTGCTCTGCTCAGCAGATTTCAGCTACCTTCTTGCACAGTGAAAAAGCCAAGCCAGAGATGAATATGGATAGTGTGCACAGTTGGCAGTGCGTCCAGTTTAAAAGCCAGGCTGTGTCTACCGGTTGGCAGGAGTTTCTGAAACAACTGAGCACTTGGAGAGCTAGATCTTATTTTCAGTGGCTGATTTCCTTTGCCTCATTTTTCCCCTCTAAACCCTTCCCCTGCAATGCCTATGTATAATATTATGATAGTTATTGTGCTTATAGAATATTTTTTAATTTGAAGAGGCTCTGTTTTTAAAATCCTAAACTTTCCATTGAAAAGCATACAACTACCCAAAATAAGACTATAAATATTGGCATGAGAGACATATTTACCCAAACTAGATTTTCTTATATTGATGTATAAAAATATATACTCATTCAGACATGGTTTTATAAAAGATCACTATTTGAAAATTATTCAGTTATTGATTTGGAAGAATTTATGTGATCCTAATATCCTCTTCCTTCATAACATTATAAATATAATTTGAGTACCTGAATTCATTTTTATTCAGAGCAAAGTAAGGGAAGAAATAACCATTATTCATATTGTAAAGCCTGACCACAGATTATTTAAAGTCAAGTTAAATCATCATAAAGAGCAAATGTTTTAAAATCAGACATGATATAATGAAGAATGGAAACTCAGAAGAAGAGAGGGTAGGAAGCGGATGAGGAACATAAAACTACATATTGGGTACAATGTACACCACTTGGGTAATGGGTGCACCAAAATCTCAGGCCTCACCACTATACAATTCATCCATGTAACCAAAAACCACTTGTACCCTTAAAGCTATTGAAATATTTTTTTTTAAATCAGACCTCAGTTTAAAGTTCAGCTCTACCACATTTGAGCTATGAGAGTTTGGGCAACTTGCTAAACTTGTCTGAGATTTGGTTCCATTTTCAGTAATGTCTGCATAATAATATCCATCTCAGAGAGCTACTATAGCTTACTGAAAGAAGTACTGGCACAGTCCATACTCAAGTCAGTAAGTGGGGACTATTTTTAGTCTAATTACCTCCAGAAATCCCTTTCATTGCATTCATTCTGATCCTTGATCAAGATATGAATGAGTGGAAAATAAGCATTGATGCTTAGGACAGTCACTGATTTTGAAAGTTTGATATTATGCTTCATCTGAAATTATGCTGGTGATTAGAACTATCACATTAAACATTGCCATGATTTGTCTCAAAATTTTTGAATGGTAATATTCAGTGTATATTCTCTACCCCCAGAAATACTGCTCATGCTAATGTGGGCCCTCTGCACTTCAGGAGTTTTCCAGTCCGTTAGCTGCTGGCTGCTGCTCTCCATCCTTCAGTGATGATTCTCTCTCTAGTCATAGTAACTTGGTCATGAAAGTGCTGAATGAGGCATTCAGGAGAGTCTGAATTAACTCTGTTTCTAGTCCAAGTTGGGGGAACAGTAGAATGAAAGACTAAGAATGCCAGATTGGCTTTACAGTTGAGAAGCTGGGAAACTTAGACAAATTAATTTCTCTGAGCATCAGTTTCCTCATCTGTAAATGTCCATTTAATGCTTACTTTACATAGCTGTTTTTTGTTTTGTTTTGTTTTGTTTTGTTTTGTTTTGTTTTGTTTTTCTGAGACGGAGTTTCGCTCTTGTTACCCAGGCTGGAGTGCAATGGCGCGATCTCGGCTCACCGCAACCTCCGCCTCCTGGGTTCAGGCAATTCTCCTGCCTCAGCCTCCTGAGTAGCTGGGATTACAGGCACGCACCACCATGCCCAGCTGATTTTTTGTATTTTTAGTAGAGACGGGGTTTCACCATGTTGACCAGGATGGTCTTGATCTCTTGACCTCGTGATCCACCCGCCTCGGCCTCCCAAAGTGCTGGGATTACAGGCTTGAGCCACCGTGCCCGGCCTACATAGCTGTTTTAAGGATTAAAGGAAGATATATATATATATATATATATATAGATACACACACACACACACACACACACACACACACGCACGCACACACACACGCACACACACAAAACACGTTTTTTTTAGACAGAGTTTCACTCTTGTCACCCAGGCTAGAGTGCAATAGCACAATCTTGGCTCACTCCCACTACAACCTCTACCCCCTGGGTTCAGGCGATTCTCCTACCTCAGCCTCCCAAGTAGTTGGGATTACAGGCACCCACCACCACACCCGGCTAATTTTTTGTATTTTTAGTAGATGCGGGGTTTCACCATGTTGGCCAGGCTGGTCTTGAACTCCTGACCTCAGGTGATAATGCCCGCCTCGGCCTCCCAAAGTGCTGGGAGGCTTGAGCCACCATGCCCAGCCTAAAGGAGTTAATATAGTTAAGAACTCACTAATAAGTTTGCACCTCGTGAGGCCTAGTGAGTGCTATCAGCTGTCATTACTATTTGAATATTTAAAAAGTTAATTTCATCGCTAACAATGGCCAAATCTTTTGAAACACTTGGGGCTATAGGTGTCTTTCTCCCTCACTCCGGATTTTGCCACCATCCTGCCTTCGGGAGCTTCTGCATTTGTCATCTTCCATTGCTGCAGGAGTGTAACTCAGGTTGAATCCAGTGGTTCTTGCGTGGATCCAAAGCTCTGGCATTCCTGAAGCCACTACCCAATCCCCAGGTCCTCAGCAATGCAAGTAATCCTCTTGAAAGAAAAT